GGCAGGACATGCAGTGCATGTTGTGCTAAAAGTGGATCAAAGAATAAGGGACGTGCTCCAATGAAGTTATATCACGTTGGCGCCCCAATGGAAAGAGTAGCCGTTAACATTGCTGGTCCTTTGCCTCAAACTCGTGCAGGAAAGAAGTACATGCGTGTGATGATGGATTATTTCACGAAGTGGCTTGAGGCATATGCAATACCAAATGAGGAAGCTACAACAGTAGCTTCAGCAATTAATGATTTCTTCTTCAGATTTGGTATGTCATACAAACTGCATCCGGATCAAGGCCGTTACTTTGAATCAGCTGTGTTCATGAATGCTGCAAGTTGTTTGGCATACGAAAGACCAGAACAATGCCACTTCACCACTGACTTCTGATTCTTACAATCTGGGTCTTTCTGCTTTTCAAAATAGGGAATCACAGATACCCATTGCACAGTTTCCAGTATGTTGTTACTTCAGACTCCCCAGTGTGTATTCTTCCTCCTTTTTTCTTCTAGTGGAGCACATGAGTCCTTACCTCTTTTATTCTCAGTTGTTGGAGTGGTGGACCATGAAGGTTTCCTCCGAAGTGAGGTTGTACAATGAAAGAAATCAAATTTATAACTTATAAATACCCACTCAGCAAGAAGAGTCATTATAATTATTGAATAGGTAATAACATACTATTCTGGATCAGAGGTGCTTACCCCAGATGTTTTGCCCAGGCTGATCACACTTGATCATAATATACATGCATATACAAGGCATTTCCACTGGATGTTTCTGCCAAGTTGGACTGTACTTGACTTATTAAATATAATCCCAAGGCACTTTCACTGGATTGTTTTGCTTGGGTGGACTGCACTTGGACTAATCCTATATATCCAAGGAGCTTCTCCCTGGATTTTGCCCAAGTGGGTTGCACTTGTTGATCTCTGTATCTTATGCAAGGTATTTCCACTGGATGTTTTCTGCCCATATAGACTACACTTGGCATAATCCAACATATTTCAAGATGCTTCCTCTGGATTTTTTTTGCTTGGATGGACTGCACTTGTTAATCTTAAAAACTTACACAAGGAACTTCCCTAGATTTTTCTTGGCTGGGGGTACTGCACTTGGCCAATATACATACAATTTATGGTCCTTTAGCCCCAGCCACTTATTCCCTATCATATTATCTGGATCCTTGATATGTGGATGAATAATGCACTATATGTTGATAATGGGCTGATTCCGATTCATCAGACACAATTTAATTTCACTACTTATGTATTACACTTCCCCTGTTTTTTTTTTGTTCTTGTTGTTTTTAAAGGGAATATCTCTTGTTGCTACCAATATCCTCGACAAAACATCAATAGACTTGCTACAGTGTGCCCCAGGACTCTTCCCTTGGCACATAATTCTTTGGCTCATCGTAGATTACATACTAAACCTTTCGTATCTTCACTGTATATTGATTCATATCATAGTTACACCACATTACTCCAAAGCTAAGTGCTGTACATCTTTTTCTTGTGTATATGGTGCCTGCCTCATACAATTTACCCTATATATATTATTTTTTTATTACTGGGTTAGTAGTGCTATACTCCACAGGTGTGCCTTACTTTATTCTTCTGGCATGCCTGATTTTTTCAGGTAGCTGTTATCAACTTATTTGAATACTGTTGTGCCTTTACCAGTCCCTCCACCTTTTCAGTGTAGAATTCTAGCTTTGAGTTAGTGAAGGTAATACTGTTTCGGAAGGTAACATTTTCCTACACTAAAAATGTATTTCTGATAGGTACTTACTTCCTCTCACCCACTTCCCACCCTTCCTCTCCACTGGTATGCTGGTATTTTAGTTTGTAACTGCCAATTCTCAAAAGTGAGGATTGTGGTAGAATAGTAGAAGGTGCTACCTACACTAATATAGGTGGCAAAGTATGATTGGTGAAGGATAGCAACATGATATGCACATGTTCTGAAATGGTGTTAAAATAAAGGGGTATAATAGACTAATTTTCTATTAGTGACAATTAGTTTAGCAATGATTAGAGGGCAAATCAAGGTTGAGATAGCTTTGGGTGAGGCGAGGTAAATATCTATCGGAAATAATTTTTCATTGTAGGAAAACATTAACTTTTGCTAATCTGCTGTCTTAGACAAAGGTTACTATGTAAAGGCTTACACTTCCTTGACCTTGTTTTTGTGTCATGCTCTTCTATAATGAAAGTATCTTCGTGTTGAGGGGTGTTACATAAACTTGTGTATGTTTAGTATTTATACATTTATATCTGGATATGTGGATGGTATAGGATTGTGGGATACTGCACTAGGACTTTGGTCTACTTAAAAGGTGCACTATATATCATATTTATTGCTGATTTCTTCATCTTATGTAGAGGTTTCTGATCTTCTCGAGCAGCCAGAAATTAGACGTATAAAAGATGTAGAAGCAGGTTAATACAAGTTAAAACAAAAGCAATACCATATTTGTCTGTAAATAAAGATATTGTTTAAGTTGTTTTCTTATGTTTGCCTCATTTCTTTTGATGTCAGTGTACATTTTATTCTCCTCTTAACCTATTTTAGAATTTGTTGCATATTGTGGATGACTGAAAATGAACCTGTGAAAATGGAGTACAATGTAAGCATGTGTTAAAAAAATCAATTTTACACAAAATTCTATAATCTTAAAGTTTTTAAAAGTGGACTAAGGCCTGTAGAGAATGAAATTTAATATCCATGTTCTGTACGATACATTCACACTGACAGAGTAAGGCCTGTGGATGGACAAAGTGTAATGTCCATGTTCTGTATGATACATTCACATTGATGGAGTAAGGCCTGTGGATGGACGAAGTGTAACGTCCATGTTCTGTATGATACTTTTACATATCTGCTTGCTTGATAATTTCCCATAAAAATTCTTACCGAGAAACTTAATTAAATGTACAGAATTTACAAACACAAAATTAAAATTCAACAAAGTCTTATAATTTTACGGGACGTATCTTCTTCCTTACTGGTCTCCGTCTCATTGGCTTCTGCTTCATGTGGGGTTCATCTGCTCCATCAGGAAATGTCCAATTATCGGTAACAGTCACATCAGTGGTAGTAACTTCATAAGGGCTTCACTGTTTCTCTTCTCAAAACTGGGTAGAGTTTCTTCTTCAACAGTGCTTTTTCAGGTGACACGTTTTCAGCAGCATCATTTGTTCCATTGTTCACTTCATTCCAACTGTAATGTCCTGGACCATGATAATGCCAAAGCCTGTTGGCATGCACCACCTTTGGCTTACCTCGCCAACCACATTTTATTTGGAAAGTCCAGTCTGAGAGACGATCCTCTGTCATATACGCTTTCCCATGAAGAAGACAACTTATACAACCACACTTTGACTCCTGGTACAAAGCTGACTTCAGTAGATCTCTTATCATAACATAGCTTCATCAAATCAGCAGACGTTTTCAAGTTTGAACACACATGATAGTGAATATCATACATCCTTTCAGATAACACTTTCACGAACTTTGACACATTTTCAGTCAACTCTTCGTAAGGTGGGCGTCCTGATATCAGTTCCACTGGCAATGAAAGTTCCCGACTAAACATTAGCTTTGGTGGCGTGTATCCAGTGGCTTCATGCTCTGCTGTTCTATAGGCCATCAATAGTTGAGGGAGTTAGACATCCCAGTCATCTTGGCAGCTGTTACAAAACTTTGCCAATTCCTGTCCCAGTGTCCAATTGTACTTTTCTACCATCCCATCAGACTGTGGAGGATGGGTAAAAATCCAAATCTGCTTTACTCAGGAAGTCAATGAGTGATAATCCTCATTGATAATAAAAGTTTGATAAATAGATGTGTATATATATATATATACCACTGGAAAAGCGTCCAGTGGTCTTACACAAACACTCCATCTCTACAGCGAGTGGTTAGAAATACACAGATCTAGTGCAAAGATCTAATATTTAGCACACTTGACCAGGCAACACCCACCACTAGGTGGGATCCTGAAATATGATGTATATCAACTGAAAAAGATACAAAATAATAACAGGTCAACTTACCCCAGTCAACGGGTAACAGCCAAGTGGAGAATTGCCACAGGAAGAAGAAGATACCCGATCAAGGAAGATACAGCCAAGTTGTGCAGATATTGGGAGTCGTCCACATATCTGTTTGAATGGTCTCCTCTAAAGATCAACGGATTCAAGCAGCAAAGGACATAGTTAACTGATGAATTTTGTGCAATGAAACATTGTGCAGCCAGTGACCTTCCATGGACAAGTCAAAATACACTGGCCGTACGAGTTGCCAAATCCAGCCTGTAAGGGTAACAAGATAGGCCCTGGAAAATAGAGGGATTCCAGGGAATAAATAGGTGAGAACAACAGCCACAAAAGAAGGTGATATGAGACACATAACAATGCAGGGAACACAGATGATAGAGAAAATGTTCCGGATCCAAACGTGAGTACAGGTGGGAAAGAAATGGTAAGGAAATGGAAGAAAAGATGAAACAACCTACACAGGCAGCAGCTGTCTCAGGAAGGAAGGCCCGATCTGGATAAAGGATAACATAAGAGGAATGGTAAAGGATACAAGAAACATTAATGGAATAAACATTGGAACAACAATGACCACATGCCAAGAGGAGAAAGAAATAAGTCGTAAGGAAAGATGGTACAAGGAACACATAGCAATGGGTTCAAAGAGAGAACCAGGCTGGGCATGAAGAACAACTCTGAGGTCCCAATCTGGAAGAATAAATGGGCATGGAAAGCAAACAAGATGAAAGGAACAGAAAAGGAGGGAAATAATCAGGGAGATGAAACCTTTATGAAACTGAGAGAAACGGATTGTGTTTGACACAGTAGCCTGATAACTAGCAACCAGTGACATGGACAAACACTGATAAAAAAAAAACGAGGTAAAGAATTGGGACAGATGAGGAACAGAAGGATGGGAAAGATGGAAGTCACAGTGAAGGGACCACCATCTGAAGCTAGACCAACATCTCTGGTATATGAACAATGAGGAAAGCTGAATGGTATGGGTAAGGAAAGACACTAAATGATGAGTGAGTCCCTGAACTGAGGTGAAGGACTGGACAAAAGCAACATATGAAGATTGGTTATATCTGGATGAAATATATCTGATTCCAGTTGTCAGTGGAGCGACCTCAACAGACATAAGGGCAGGGGCTGCTGCTCCAGTAAGGGCCAGAGCAGAGGGAACCATGTCTGAACTAGCCAATACAGAGCAACTAGCAAAACATAACAAGGAGTGGTCTGGACAATGAAAATGACCCTGGAGATTAGTCTGAAAGGATTATAGGCATATACATGAAGGGCCCCTCTATTCCTGACTGAATGCATCCACCCCCCAAAGTTGAGGGATGTGGAACAAGAGACCAAACAGATGGTAGTTTGACATTCCAGTAAATGGCAAATGCATCTATACATGGTGTTCCTAGGTGAGAACACACCAACTGAAATACTTGAGGAACTTGGTTGGGATGAGACAAGTGGTCAGCCACCAGATTCATAATGCTGGGAACATGACATGCTAAGATGGTTCTTCAACTAAAAAGGTAAGAGAGGAATCAAGGGCTAAGGGTGAAATATTTAAAATGACATACTTGATCAAGAAGGTGTAGGAACAGTGAGGTCAGCAAACTCTCCTGACTGTCAGCGTTATGTGACTGACCAAAAAGGCCAGGGCCAGAAAAATAGAGTTCAAATTATCTTCACCCTGAATAAATTCTTCCTCAGAATGAACTGACTGCCAAGGAAAAGTGTCCAACTCCCTCTGAATTAAGGCTTGAACTTCTTTGGTAGATATTGTCAACCTACCTTACTGGTGACTAGTGGCATTACTGTCCTCAATACTGGCAGGAACTTCATCATCCGCCACAGTAAAATTTGAATTCATATTTCAAATTATGGAAGAATTCTTCGAAAAACAAAACTAAAATTCAAAATCAAACACTTTAAAACACTTTTAAACTGGTGAAGGACTGAAATGCAATCACAACAAGAAACCAACTATATGAAATGAAGTAAACACATGTCTGTACACTGTAATGCCAATCGACAAAGTGAGGATTGTGCTAGAATAGTTAATGGAGCTACCTGCACTAGTATAGGTGGTGCAATATGATTGGTGGAGAGTAATCATCTATGTACATTGAAATGGTGCAAAAATAAAGGGGTATAATAGACTGATGCACTATTCTAAATTTTTAGCAATGCTTAGAGGGCAAATTAAGGTCAAGATAGTTTTGGGTGAGAGGAAGTAGTACCGTTTCAGAAAAGCTTGGTATGGTTGTTCTGTTTTTGAATAGACAAAATAGCATCAATAATTTTAAACTTAGTCCACTGTTGTTAAATAATATTTAAATATATACATACATGCTAACCTACCCTTGATTTAGAAAGTTCTTTTTCTTTCTGTTTAGATTCAAAGGATAATAATGCATCTCGAGCATTCATATTGTTCATGTTTGCATGTATAGCTTTCTTGTATGTCTTAGAAGCTTCTTCTAATTCTCCTTTTTCCTCATAGCTTATAAATAAAAAATATGACAGTAAAAAATTTAATTATTTTAAATTTCAAGAGTCAATACTAACTTTGAGAAAAAATATTACTTATAATTAGCACACCAAAACTAGATACCAGTTTCATAATTTACACACCTGAACAAGCCAATAACTAGTGATAACAAGGATTTGGTTTCTGCCTGAAAAATAAACTAGGGATACTTGTTAGATTTCCCTATTCATTAACCATTGCTAATATAACTGGTACGCTTACGTAACAATTACATTCTCTTACCTGTGCTCTTTCACATATGGTTTCATTATAGTTTAATATGGATAAAGAAACTTGAATTTCACCAAAAAATATTTTCCTTCTGGAAGATCATTCACATCTGTATCAAAAAATAAAGAATATTTCCTTTTGCAGACAAAGAAGCCTAAGAGATCTCCAGCACTTACTATCTCCCAAGTGCCACTAATGTTTCTGACATGTATTTACGAGCATTGTTGTGATTTGGATTAATGCCCATTGCTCTTTCAAAGTCTTCCAACGCTCTACGAAGATTATTGTTGTTAGCAAACCTGCAAGTAATCATCACACTCAATAAAACTGTGTATCATTTTCTTGACAAAAAAAATTTACAAAACATAATTGTTTTTATGTTAACAAGATATTAATAACTCTCTATGGATAGACCACAGTCAAGGGAAATTCTTGCAAGATAAGAAATTGAAAAGTATTTTGTTAAGTCAGGGTTTGCTTTTAAACTTCTAAATTTTTTATATAAAAAAGTAATATTCTAAAGGTTTAGATATCAGAGCTCAATATAACACACACCTTACATGCAAAGTGAAGGTATACTTAATGGCAACTCAACAATTGACCTTTCTTTTTTTCTAATGAAACTGTGCTTTGGGGAATAAATACAATTAGTACATTTGACTTTACCTTAAATACGATATAACCCAAACTTTCTTCTTATCTGAAACATCATTTATCTCATAATGACAATGTGTAATAAATACAAAAAAATGTTTAATGTTTTTGGACAAATAACATTATAATGCTTGGAGACGGCTTGAATGGGTAATGAAGAAAAAACTTTAACAAAACTTTAAATAACAGAAAATGCACAAAGTTTCAACAAGGTTTTGTCATCATCAGGTAGATTAAAGTTTTTCTTCATTACCCA